CTAGTTGGATATTTTTAGAAAAAAATAATATACAATTTTTCCTTCTAAAATTTGCTTTTAATTAAGTAATGGTATACTTTGACTTGTTTTGTTTTGATATAGAAGACTAGATTTTGTACCAATTTTATCAATCCTTGATTATTACAATGTATAGTGACAGGTTGTAATAGTAAGAGGTTTAAAATATTTTGATGTATTTCAACGTTTTTATGGGTAATGGAGACTATTGAGTTGATTACTTAAATTTCAGTGATAAATGTTGTAACTAAATGCCTTCTTATGCACATCACTAAAGGTGCAATAATTTGCCTTTGTTGAAGATTGTAAGAGTGCAAGTTAGTGCTTAATTTTCTAATTAATTAAGCTACCTATAAGTATGAAGATATAGGCTTCAATGTTGTTTCAAGACATGTTCTCTAATTTTCTTTGGTTCAATCCTTGACTAAACAATCCTCCTTCAATGTGTAAAAAATATTATAATCTAAGTTTATATATATATATATATATATATATATATATATATAATATGTTTAGCAAAATCTACATAAAATTCTTGTAGATTTTTCATGAAACTACTGACTTAGATCATAGCAAAGGAGATGTCTTACATAAATATAGTCAAAAAAAAAAATTTCTTATTAATTGAAAATAGAAGTTTGAATTGGTATAGAAAGAATTTATATCATTAACAAGAACTAATCCTTCTAACATAGATATTTGAAATTTTTTGCAATTAAATATTCTAAATTGGTGTCAATACATGAATTAGAAGAAGAGGTATAAATCTAAAAAATTTGTGTTAAAAGAAAAGTGAAAAAATAGCAATAAAATAGTATGTATATCAAAAGGAAACTGAAATGGCTATTGCCAAAAGACAATGAAACTAAAGACTCTTAAATCTAGACTAGAAGCAAGAAAGGAATTGACAAGAGTAAAAAAGACTTCACTCTTCCTTCTATATATACTATCTAACTAGGAGTTACATGGTGATGTTCTATTAGACCTTTAATATGTGTTGACTTTGCAGGACACATGCCTTAGCTTAGGTAAGTTTTCTACGTATAAGCCACATAATTAGCGTGTACTTCAAGCTACCAACATGTGTGGCATATGAACAACTTATTAACTACATTTTTAACCTAAAAAGTCAATTATACACACCTATAAAGTCAAAAAAATATTTATGAAGCTTTTAAGAAGCTTGTATAGAAGATATTATAGAATTAACCTACTTTTATGTACTTTTATCAAAATCATATAGGTAATGATTGATTTACATGTGTATGTCCATCACATTACCCTCCCTTCTAATAACAAGTTCCACGAGGAGTGGTCATCTTATATTGAGAAAATCCAAGATACAGCAAATTATATTTGCTACATACTCTGATCTTAATTCTCTTCAAAGATATTTGATAGGGCCTCTCAACCATTGATAGTATTCCATACTATGGCAGGAAGACCACCTAGTTATTTGATCATTGTTGAGGCCTTCATAACTTCCTTCAAATAAAATATTTGGAACACTACCAAGAGTTGTTCCTATGTCTAGTAAAATTACTAAACATTGGGAGTCCTTTTAAAGGTCGTGATACCAAATACGTTGTATCTTATCATTTATTTAAAGAAGAATATGTCATTCTTGAAGAACTTCATCTTGATTGTGCCATCTTAAAGGTTGTGACAATCGCAATGTCTCATCCAACAAGTTAGAAAATGAAGGCTCTTGAATTGAATCTACTAGTTGTTGGTTCTTAATTTCCTTCATGTCACAAATATACAAAAACCACAAACAAAGATAGAAGGTAAATTCAATCTTTTGTAGACCTTGTTTCTTTTATAGCAAAGACTTATTATTCTTCATCTTGATTTTGATGGATATTATCGATGAAAAGCCTTTATCGCCTTTAATATATTTGTAAGATTTTTTTATTGGCTCCCATGTATATTTACTAATATCATATCCGCACCTAAAGATAAGATATTCTAATTTATTTTGGCATCTCTTTGAATCTAGAACTTCTTCTACTTTGAACTCTTCATTATTGTCCACTTTTATAAGAAGAGGTAGAGCTTGTCTTTTTCTTGATATGTTCACAATCTTGTATGGTTTAAAAAGAGACACATGGAAGATAAGATAGAACTTCATTGACTCTAGTAGATGTAATTAATAAGAAATTGGATTGATTTGTCCAAAAATAAAAAAAGGTCCAAGCATGTGGTAGTCCAACTTATTACAATGACAAGTACTCTTCATATTATGATGAAGTAACTATACCTTGTCACCTACATTAAATTTTGGTTGTTTTTTTTGATAGGCATCCACGTTAATCCTTTGTTGTTCTTGAGCTTCCTTTAATTGCACCTTCATTGTTGCATGTAGCTCTGACAAATAATTTGTCAAACCTTCCGCTATAGGATTATTAACTTTTAAAAAGTCAAAAGTATCAAATCATAGATGATAAGTATAATTGGCAAAGAAAGGTATTAGTTGCATAGAAGAATGCATTGTATTATTGTAAGTAAATTTTATCAATGGTAAGAGGGTTCTTCAATCGTCTTATTAATGATTAATGGTACACCTTAAGTATTACTCCAGAACTTGATTTACGTACTCTATCTATCCATCAGTTTGAGGATAAAAGGCCAAAGAAAGTTTTATATCTATCTTTAGAATCTTAAAAAGAATTCTCTAAAATCTTGATACAAATTGAATTTCTTTATTTAATATAATATCTTTCAATAATCCATGATATTAATAGATATTATCAAAAAAAAGCTTGGTAGTTTTTTTTGCATATGATAGATTTTGTACATAGTACAAAATCTACCATTTTAATAAAACGATCTACTATCATGAATATAGAATCATACAATCCTAAGACTGGAAGATCCATAATAAAATCCATAGAAATTAATAGTGAATGTTAATTTCACTCTTAAAGATAAAACTATTTTGGCTTTAATAAAAACATCTTTTCTTGATCAAAAGCTATATCTCTTTTTTTAGGTCCAAGATAAGAACATCTAAAAAGAATATCATACAAACCTTCTTGTTTTCTTGGCCGATTAGTGATATTGAACTCAAATCTTGACAAAGACATGTTTCAAAGAATCTAGCAATGATTCAAAATACAAGTTGATATGAAATATTTGAGGTTCTTCTGATCTATATACACGATGATTAGATTGAAAGTGCCTTCTAGATAATGATGCCATTCTTGAAAAGAATCCATAATTACAAGAAGATCTTTATTATGGATCTCATAATTAATCTCGATTGCTGAAAATTTCTTGAAATAAAAAGCTACTGAGTGAAGTTTATCATCTATTTCTATTTGTGATGATATAACACCAAAAGCAAAGTCTAATGCATTTTTTTCCATAAATAGTACCTTAGAGAAATCAACGTGATATAAAATTGGTACAAAAACAAAGGCTATCTTTAAAGCTTCAAATATTGATTTCGCTTCTTCATTCCATTGAAGTTTGTCTTTACAAGTAAAACGTGTAAATAGAGTTGTAATTTGAAAGAAGTATTTGATGTAGATCCAATAATAGTTGACAAATCTCAAAAAATATTGGACATCTTGGACCATTTTTGAAATCTTCTAATTCATAATAGTTTGAATTTTCTTAGGATCAATCATAAGTCCATCATTTGAAATGATATAACTTAAGAAGTCAACTTTAGTAGTGTAGAATACACACTTTTTTATTTTGGCATAAAGTCTTGTATCTCTTAATTTTTGTAATACATGACAAACATGAAGTTCATGTCCTTCTGTATTCTTAGAATAAATCAAGATGTCATTTAGATAACAAACAATAAAATCGTCCAAAAACTCTCTAAAAATATCATTCATAAGATGTTAAAAAGCTGCTCGTGTATTTGTAAGTCCAAAAGACATGACATTATATTCTAAATGTTTGTACTTGGTTCAAAATGCAGTCTTCTATTCATCTCTTTCTTTGACGCATATGAGATTGTATGTTTTTTATAGATCTTAGTTTGATTCAATTGATCAAAAAGTCAAGATATTAAAAATAGTGGGTATTTATTGTTGATGGTGATCTTATTGAGTCTTCTTTAATCAATACACATCCACAATGATCCATCTTTTTTCTTCACAAATAAAATTAGAGTTTTTACTGGAGATTTGGAATGGCATATGAAATTCTTGGCTAGATTCTCTTCAATATAGTCCTCGAGTTTGGCCAACTCATTTTGTGATAAATTGTAGATTGGTCCAAATGATGGTTATATTCCTTCTTGAAGGTCAATTGAAAAATCATAGAGATGATGTTTTGGAAGAATATCCATATTCTTTTTTTCAAATACATCTTGAAATTCTTCATATTCGCTTGAAAAGCTACTTGAAGTCTTTGCACTATTAGAAATAGATGTGGCATAAATGATACAAGGTGATCCTTCTTTTGCAGCATACAAAAAAGTTCTTATATCTACAAATATAGGTTTAATTGTACTAGACTTGTGATTTTCTACTTGATTAATTATATTCTTAATTATACTTTTCAAAAAGTCAAAAATACAAGAAATCCAATCTATTCAAGAATTATATTTTTTTAATCAAAATAAATCTAAAATGATTGAATTAGAAGGAGATCTAATGATATTAAATATTACAAAGCTATTATGACCATTGATTATTACTTCTATAGGAAGAATTTTGTGAATACAACTATCAACTGGTATAGCATAAAATCACGAATTGGTAGCCTCTAGTGTTGAGCAGCCCGGAAAATGACAAATAACCATGGAAGTTGAAATTGACATTGCTGCTTTAGCGATTTAGAGCTTAGCACAAGAAGTTGTAGAGGGAAAATTCAAATGAACAATTAGCTGTTGAAGATGTTTAGTAGGGCCGTCCACACTAGATGAATATAGTGTTACCGCATGCAGAATGGAAATTCAGCTTCATGGTATTAGGCATGGTTAAGCCTTTCTTACTAAACACCAGCCCACAAACCCCACGAGGTCCCGAAAATTTTGCTGAGAGGCTTTTCACAACTTTCTGAGAATGAATCACAGACCATGCAATCGAGCTCAGAGTCAATTTTCCCACATCTATCATGCTCTGAATTAACTGGGTAGATGTCCATGGTTCGACATGTTTTAAGCAAAAGTCAACCAGGGAAATGAACAGACGGTGAGAACTCATGTTGGCGTGCAATGGTGAAAGAAGCTCAGGGATGGTTTGATTTACGTTTCACAACATCAGCCGATGTGGTATAGGCTACTGATGAATTTCGATGAACTCAGCTACCTGCGTTACTGAAGTATAAGGAAACTCGCAAACGTCGTCTGGGTTTTTATAGGGATGTTTTCGTAGACTTATCACTTACGCTTCCGTTCTGTAGACGTCTTCGGGCATTACTGTTCACTACTAATTCACGCCATGATATTAACGGAATTGATGTGATGCCAGGAAGGAAGTTTCCAAGTTTGCAGGACTTTTAGGTGGGCTTCTACGACAATCTGGAGCAAAACTAGCACACCAAGCGGATCTTGGGATATTGTCTTGACGTTAAAGGTCGCGTTCAGTCAATTGAGTTGGAGTACCATATGCCACGAAGGTCTTTGCTTCAGCGCGAATCTGCAAAGTCACAGTTCGGACATTAGCAAGGACAGCATAAGCGACCATGAGCTGAGAATTCTAGGTTGAGGATAGTGCAAGTAGTGCAGCTGAACGTCCACTACAAACCTTGTTGTACAGCACTCTTGACAGATTATCATTCCAAGCATTGCGCTCTCTTACAGATATCCTTCTCCAGCCCAACCGTGGCTCAACACGCACCCTTCAATTCAAACAGAGCGACTCAATTTCAAGTACGAGAAATGACACAATCTATGGCATCCTAAAGACATTGAGAACATGGCAAGCTTGTCATGAAAAATATCTGAGGAGAATAATTTTACCCGATCAACAGGAAATGGATATTTTTCTGATAAGTTTTGAACAATGCGATGACAGCAGAATTTCGCAAACTCCCTCCCACTCCTCTTTCTTCTTCGTTAATGCTCCCTTCGATGGGCGCCATGTTCACCATGTTCATGACGGCAGATTTTTGCTCACTCGAGATAACTTCAGATCCATCCAGCTGCTGCTTGACGTAATCCGAAAGCATTTCTCTTTTTTCGAAGGGTACTACTGTCTCGGCGATCACCAAAGTTTTCAGCTCAAGAGTTGCCTTGTCATTGATCCTCTGAAGCAATCCGGAATCAGTCTCCCTGCATGAAGATGTAAGAATCGTATGAGTAAAGTTCCTGAATGCAAAATTCGCAGCTTACGAACACGGATCACTCTGAAATTCAATGATGCACTAAGGAGACACTTTCAGAATGAAGAGGTGTAGGAAGTTTAAGCTTACTTCAAATCATTGGACAAGGAATGGTCTTGGATAAGGACATGATGCAGTGGTGACTGCTTCATCTCCAACCAGCCTCCTTTTGAAGATGGCACTCCAGAAGCTTGATTGAGGCTGTAAATCGTGGAGAGAAGAAAGACAAATAGCATACTGGAAGTCACTAAAGCAAGCCGGAACAGATTCCATGTTGAGATCAAAGGGGTTGAGGATGCTTCCCCTTGGAAGCTGACACGAGCAGGGTCCTTCGGTTGGACGGTAGAACTCTCCCTAAACGGAACAATATGGTCTGTTAATACCATGATATTCTTCTTCGTTTCGACAGCCCTTGAATCTATCATCGATGTTCACAATGGCGTTAGTCATCGCAAGTGAAACTAACATAATACTATCAAGCTCCATGTCATGGGTCGCTCCTAACATCAGCACTGAAAATTGGAAATGAATCGTCCGATCCTCTGCGTTACCCTAATTCTCAGTTTCTGCTGCCGAACCATGACATACTTGGGTTTTGAGTCAAGGAAGATCACCGTTCAAGTCATCAGATCATCCGTGGAGGAAGCCATTTTGCTCATTCGGCAATCTCCCGTTTTGCACAATCCAGCTCACCAGAGTAAGGCAAGGTGGCCAGCCTATCATAGCAAATAGACAGACAAGTTTATTTCTTCAGGCACTCTGATATATATTTCCAAATACGCTTTCGTAATGAAGGACCGCCAACCAGAGGCTTCACAATTTTCGTATGTTATGAGAATGGCCGAGTCACCCAGAGGATTTTACGTTAACTGCTTTATGGAAAGCATCCTTTACTCAAAAAAGAAGAGCGACATCGAGTCTGTCACACGATGAGAACATTATTTGCTGGTGAGAGCAAAGGCATCAAGAGCTGGATCAAAATCCAAAATCTAGAAGATTGCTGAACGCCGTAGAATGCTTTCTTCTTAGAATATTAAAGATGAAATCCTCTCTCATTCATACTTGGTAACTGATTGCTCTGATTGCAATACCCAGTTGGGGGTAAGAAGCAAAAACAATATTGAACGAAGGGCACTGAGGGTTTGAAGAGGCGGGCGATTAGAGGTTTTAAAGGTCGCCAATCTTGGAAGAACTGAGCATCGATGAGCTCAGTGGGGCCCAGAATGAACTTGTCACCTGGGATCTCCACAGTCTCGTTTGCCACGTCTGCTGCATTTTTCATGGGCTCGTGGTCTAGTCATTGCACGTGGTCCCCATCATCCACATTTGTAAAGTAAGGATTAAAGAAATTGCGATTCGTGTTCTTACGCCGTCCAGGAAATTGTTGAGTTTCATTCATCTCGCTCCCTCCCTTCCAAGGATGCATTCTTGTGATCTGGTTGGTCAAGGTGCTTTAGCTTGTTGACAGGTTCCTCAGCCGCTGGGTTCAGCCTCTGGGTTCAGCCTTGAGGGATTCGTAAGTGGGTCATGTGAACTGCGAATGGAAGAGGTGGCTGCTGCATATTCTTACGAAGTAGAGAAGACCAGATTCGCATTGCAGTTTTTTGATAACAGGTGCTTGGACGTGTGGAAATTGAGGATTGATTGCAATTTGGTGGAAGGTTTTCCAGAAGAGCAAGAGTTAGCTGCCGTTTGAAGCTCTCAGAGTCAGCTTTAGATTTCTTATGTTTTAGAGGTTAAAGAAAACAGCGATCGCGCAAGTTTAAAAGTTGGAATTGGGGAGTTGTCTCACTCGGGGTCCTTGCTTAAGTGCACTGATTCGTATAGTGGAAGGTTAAGGTGCTCTTGCGGATTCGTCGGCAGCATTTCAACAGGGATTGTCCACATTGCTGGAGTGTGACAAGAACAGACCACCGCTTCCTGGATCATCACTACAGAACAGACGAGATAATATTATCTTCGAAGGATGAAGTAATGTCGATTTTATTTACAGGTTGAAGGGAAGGATCCGAAACTGGTCTTATTCTCCATTCGGTCTAAATTCTGGAGGGATTTCATCTGGGGACGCAGCTATGGTTTCAGGGCTGCCGTCACAGGTGGCCAGCATTGAAAAGGAAGTGCGAGAGATTTTCTTGATCCTTGCGTAAGTTGCGTTTTTCTTAGCAGAAATGTGAATGTCCTTTTGTAGACATACTCTGCTCACATACCTGAGTCGTTGATGGGATGCTGTTGATGGTCCTCTCCTAGCGATGATGGAGGACATCAGAATTAAACGAGTAGACAAGCAGATCATTTTCAACACGTGAATCTTCGAGGTTAAGCTTTGTGCAATTGTGGAGCTTCGCATTTATTCATTACCCAGTACAAAAATGCAATTGTACTGAGTCTGCGTTTTATTTGACAGGAGTGGGTTTCAAAGGACAGATAAGATCAAAGATGTCGACAAGAAGAACAAGCAGTTGGAGGAGCTCACTGCTCAGATGCGGGATGCAAAACGGTAAGCACTTCCTTCGCTCTGAGGTGACATACCATATGTTCACCATTTGAGACTTAAACATTGAATCATTGCTTGTTGTTCATCTACATAATTTCGTTGCTGTCCACTCATTTACTCAACTGTCTTCTGAGCAAAAGTGAGAAGACATGCCTTGTGATGGTGTTCTCTAGTTTGAAAGTTGCCTTGAAAGTTAAAAGCTTAGAACTTGTCGGATTGCAGACATCTTCATTGACGTGATGAAGATGATTACAACGTTGTTTTGGGCCCTTTTTTGTGCTTCTGTGATAAAATGGCGTACTTGTCTGGGGTTCTCCAGGTTGATTAAGGGTTTCGACAAAGTAATGAAGTATGAGGAAAGCCTAACAAATCTGGAATTTAACAAGATGCTGAATGAGAAAAAGCAATCACTGGTATGCATAGGGATGCTAGCAAATGATTCGTTGCGGTCGTATCTTTAATCAAAACGATCTTCAGTCTCTGATAGGTGTTAATTCCATCTGCAGATAAACGAACTCAACTCTTTTGTCGCACTAAGAAAGACGTACCCAAGCTCGATAGGGAGGAGGGAAGAACTCCTCGGCGGAGGCTCATATACTGCATCTTTAAGGGATGTGGATGTTCGCCTGGCCTCATGTTGGTTAACCTCCGGGCCTTATGTGCTCCAATTTGAGATTTTTTTTATTTTTTTATTTATTTATCCTGTCATGCTTCTTTTCCTGGATTTGATCATGTTTAGATCATGTTTAGATGGTAGATTCATATCATTTTGATATTTTGTGCATCTCGTTATCTCTTCCCCGTTGGTAATGTCTTCGGCGTAATACTTTGAGTCTCTCATCCGAGATTGCCAAGGTTTGACGAAGGCCGAAACTGAAGGAAGTTGATTGGGTCCACAGATTTTTACTGTGGTCTCCTAAGTTGTGCCTTGAGATTTTGTATTTCAGTTGAAGCGTTACCCTAAGTCCTCCAATTCATCTAAATTGCATCTGTTGCCATTACTGCAGCTGTGGCAAATGAAGACCCAACCCAAACGGCTAGACAACCGATGGATGGAACAGATAAAACTACAGAGAGTTCTTGTGAGGTATATCACATGAGTATTGGGACAGAGACAGCGACTACGGCAGAATTGACTACTTTGAAAGGAGAAGTCAATTCTTTCGAAGTTCGTTTTTCCTTTTGCTTTTTGGTTGATTTCGAGGTTTTTTGTGCATGGTTTAGTTGTAGATCTGATAGCGGCAGTTGGTCGTTATCTGCAAACGAAAACCCAACTTCAAGCCATCAAATCTAAGGATAATTTATTACATCTGCAGTGACCAGTGGATAAATAATGAACGCAGTTCACGAGTAAAGCATAGCTTGAGGTTCCCTTTTAGTCCGCACATCAAGATTGCCTAGGCTGATTCGTTTGTGATGCCTTCAGAAGGAGCAGTCAAGCAAGACTAAGGATGATGTGGACACCACCCGGTTTTCAACGAAAACTGGATCACTTAAAGAACTTGGGTGTAAGGTAAAGCACTTCCCTCTTTCAGCTTGAACGTCTTATGGATTGCAAGGTAAGGCTTATTGTATTTCTGAACATAGTCTGCTTCTTTATATGCCTTCAGCGCACTGCAGGTTTTTAACCAACTTGTTTCTTCACGTCAGCTCTAGGAATAGTTAGCATGCCTCCAAGTTTCGGTTAGCCAAATATTTGCCAGACAGGTGATGCGATACAGTACAGAAAATGATTCTTGTAAACGAAGCTCATCATCATGTTGCCCGGGGATACGCCTTCCGAGGTCGCACTGGAATGAAAGCAGTCCAGGAACATTGCACAACCCATACAGTCTCCGTTGTGTTACTCCAAGAAATTATGACCTCGACTCTGGTTTCCTAGACCCCGAATTAGTTTGTATCTGTCTGCACTGAAATAAGAGCTGTTTCATTAGATTGGCATTTTGTTGAGTGTGTATTGCTTTCCAAACTTAAGTTTTTCTGTAACAAAGGGTCTGCTTTTCACTGTGCAGCTGGCAACAAACAGGTTTGTAATGCTCATTTTACTTCTCATAACGATATCTTTGATCGTGACTGTTATTGTGAAGGTACTCCCTTTCATCTTTCTTCATAACGTTGAGCCCACGCCGTCCTCGGAACTCACTGACGATTATGAGTGACTTTGATTTCTGATGTACCTGTATCTAACTATGATGTTATGTGCTTGAGTTCTTAATACTGGCGTGTTTTTTCTCTAGAGCTTGTCCATCCCGAGGGTGGATTACCCAGTTCATCACCTCCAGCTCGAAGGAGGCGCCTTCTGATGACAGAGTTGGACTTGCTAAAAACCATCTCTTCCTAGTCCTACTGCCGAGTTTGGAGTAGGTCACTCATATTGTCAACGAGCTTGGTAGCAGTTTATACACAAACTTTCTCATTCCCTCTACTCCTCTGAAAAAGCAGGCCTGCTCTATTCTAGGAGCAGTCTACCTCTAAAGCAGATATTTGTCCACTCTAAAGCAGATACAAACCATAAACTACAGAAAAACTTGGGGCTGTTGACCTTTCGTCAACTTATCCTATGTTCTATTGAACCACCTACATGTAACACGACCTATTGAGGAATTTTACTCCTTTCCAAGTTTCCGACACTCCTTTTGTGCATGTAATTCAGCTCCTGAGTTGGGCTCACCCTGCTAAAAAGGAGGCGGACCTGTCTGACATGGCTGGTAGATGAGTTAGGAAAAAGGATGGAAATGGGCACAATTGGGGAGGAGCATTATGGGAGGGGGGAGGGTACTGACTCATACCACAAAGATCACGGAAACAGTCAGCGCCGAAGGGCTGAAAACACGGCACATATCCCGAGCATGCGACGACACACGGCGTAAGGAAGAAAGGAAGGGAGGAAGGAGGCCAGGCTAGGGTTGGGCAGGGAACGGCAGGGTTGCCAAAGTCAAACCTAGCTTGGATTCATATTTTAGCACGGGTCTCCTGTACCGCCTTGCGTTGCGGCATGATCAGCTCTGCCGATCGATGGTCCAGTTGCTGCAGCAGGGCCTGGATGCCATGGCCATGGCATGGCATGGCGCTTGTCAGAGCGAATGCCCTGGCTCGCAGCTGGGGGGGGCGTTACTGATCGATAGCTAACACTTCTCCTCAAAGTAGGAGCTTCATTCTCATTGTCTCTTACTCTTCTTGCTTGTTGTCTCTTCTTCTGTGACTCGTTTCTAGTTTCTGCATTGTCTGCGCTTCTTTGCACTCCAGCTTTGCACTTTCGCGTAGACAACGTTGTCGACGGTATAATGTGTATCTTGTTTGCGTTGATTGTATTCTCAGACGCAAGGTGGATATGATCCAGTTGAACGAACAGTCCCTTCCAAAGTGGCCTTGCCTTGTTCTTCCGAGTGTGTTGTGCCTTTCTTGGGGGTTGTCATTCGGTATCGTTTGAGAGCTGGTTTTGTGATGGAATTATTAGCTTGTGATGTAATGGGCCTTATGAGGTCTCCTTATTCGCTACTGAGCTCCTCTTGGTCTCACACTTGTGCAATGAGACAGCACGATTGAGTTATGCTGCCGTGATAGTAATTTATCTTCATTGCAGCAACGGGAGATAATGCCAATATTCAGTGTATTTGTGTATCTTAGGAATTGTATCTGGATTTTGATCTACCTTCCTCGCTGACATAAACTGTCTTTACAGATCTAACATCCTTACAGACTTCAAAAATATCTCAACGTGCCGCAAGTATCTCTTACTTTTAAGAATATCTCAGCTTCAATTATATCTTTCAATTGTCTAATTTCCTCCGTCGAATTAATAACCATCAGCTCTAATGCAGGGCTTTACCAACGAACCCCGCATCTGAAACTCTTACGGTGTAGATATAAAAAGCCCTAACAAGAAAGAGTATGTTGTTCTCGTTGAGTATTGTTTCAGTTGGAATTAACTTCGTACTCATTTGATCACTCGGACTGCAGTAGATTTTTTATACGCATGAGCACTGAAGCCACTAATGGCTGACTACGATCACTTTGAGACTTTACAACAGCAGGTGAAGAGGCAGATTTTTCCAAAGCGGTTCTAAACAAGAAGCTTCCGTGTAAATTAGTTCCGGAACTGTAAGTCATATCTTAGATTTGTCACTATTTGAACTGGATTATAGTAAGGCAGACGTATACACAGGCGATTCATGAATAGACGTCTATACTTCGTCATTACGATGACCTCAAGCCCTAAACTGATGCTGCCGTCATCCATCGTTGCAACTTGCTACGCACCTTTTCACGATGCTACGGATGAAGGGGAATCTAGACCCCAAAACAAGGAAAGGAAGCTGTAGTGAACCTGAGATGGGAATATCTATAAAGGCAGCTACGAATCCTGCAATGAAATCAAATCTGACAAACCTATCTTGCATAATTGGTGAAGAACGGAGGATTGACAGACAAGCTGAAAAGCCTTCAAGCATTCCTCTGGGACCACGTGTGCCTCCATTTGCGACCATTTTCCGAACGCCCCTGCTTCGGCGAGTAGCTGTCGCTTGGCAGGGCTAGGGTTAGGAATCAGACAATCTCGCCAGTTGTGTTGTCGTCTCGTATCGTGCCATTCTCAATGGAGGGCTATACTGTTCCGGATTAGTTATGATAGATATTTCTTACTCTTCTCCTCTTTGCAGCCCCTCAAAATGGTTCCGAATCAGTCCTCTTGCAATGATGAAGCTGGTCATCGGGGACCTGTGTGTAACCGCTCCTCGATTCCCTCAGTGTCGAACAATTGCATGCTGCCGCCCTACGTCAGCCGCCAACTTCTCACCGCTCATCTTCAAGTGTATTCGGTGCGTTTGATATCAATACGCACCCTTAGTTTATCTTGACTTGCCACGGACTCGAGCATCATTTGGCTCCATTTCGAGACATATAACCAGCAAAAAGAAAGTGGATGAGGGAGCTCAGTGTGAATAGCACGCACAGGAATAGACTTTTGTGTGCGTTGTGCCTATGCCACTTATTCGGGAGATTAAGACACTGCAGAGAATCTAGATCACAGAGGCGTGCCAAGCTTCACTCTGCTCGACTTGTTCGTTATTTCAAATGTTGCCCCTTGTCGTGAAATAAATCCGCTTGTCCATGTCACCTGCACCGGAGCGGCTCTTCTTTTCGATCCTTCTCAACCACTTTCTTGATTTGTGCTGCTAGGAGGACAGGTCTGCAGCTCTGATAGATGTCGAGGTGGCAAATTTGAGCTGTTGTTGCGATTCAATGCGTTGGCACCGTTGTTCCTTTTGTGTGTGTTCATATTCCCTCCCATCTTAATTTTGCTAGACGAATCAGTCGTAGCTGGTAAGTCCCCGAGGATATCAGTTAGTCGTTACGTTTTAGTACGGGTCTCGTTATGTCCCCAGAATGTAGTTGGTTTTGTGATTTTCAATCAATTTTTGTCTACTGAGATTGTAGAAGGGCAAGGGGAGAGCTTCAAAGACATCAACCTGCTTTAGCTGCTGCAGCAAGCCCAATGCCAGTCCACGCGAACGAGTTGCGAGTCACTTACAATCCCTTTGCTTTCGTGCGATAGTGGCCTTTAGATTCAAGAAGAAATTGCCTCAGTCATGCTCTCTCCACTCAAATTTCCTGTATTAAATGCGAAGCCTAGTCTTTGTAAGTGCCGACCTATTGATCTAAACCCCACAGGTTGTATTTCGTTTTCCGTTCTTTATTGACCACGTAGCTTTTCCTGTATTCAAAGTGGGCGTATTTCAAAGTTGACTGGTCTCTGGTTGTATTCACGGCATGCGGTTAGCTGAAATGTGAAATTGAACCGGTATTGTGAGGCAAATAGCCCTGCATAAAAATAAAAAGAGTGAGTTAGAAGCTACATGGCATTCTGACCGTCCTTTGAATTTGGTTGACAGGGTAATACTGTTGTGGTTTGAGGCGTCATTGTTGACATTATTCCATACTTGTTGCATCTCGTAATTCTGGAAAATGCGAATCCGGAAGCAGCAGCCGAGGGGAAATACAGGAGAGGACTCGACGGGCCCGAATCCTGGTCCGAGAGGTCAAGAACAAGAGCTGGTACATAGCTTCAGAAGAGTGAAAGAGAAACCTGGGAACGAGGGGCAAACGGTTGACAACGGAGAGGGGTGTATTGGAGAGGATTTAAATGAAGGAAGTGGTTAGGACAGGTTGGAGGTGGAATTTGCAGAGTAGATTCTGGGTCTCGCTCTCAGTTCACATGGTTAGACAAATTGCGGCATTCGAAGGGGTTCACCGAATCAGAACCGTATTCAAATTTAGAGGAATATGTAAATTCTTTATCAAAAAAGGACGTTGCCATCTTATCAAAAGGGTTAGCCGAAAGTTCCGAGGAAGTGGTACAAGGTAATGACCTGCACCGATTGGTGGGGGGTACAAGTTTTGATGCACGAAATTCGGCAAGATGTGGATCTGCTTCTTCCGGGTTAAGCTTCAAGCAAACTCCCGCTGGCGAGCTGGAGAGAACTTCTAGTCTTCCTTTGTTCTCTTGTGATGACAGCTCAAATGCACTCGCCGCTCTTCAGGGGGATGTGGTTCTTCCGAATTCATTTTGCAACAAGTGGAATGCAGCGGAGAAACCCAAAGATGATAGCGATATTTTTCCCGGAAAATCTTCCGTTTCATCCGGCCTGCCATCTTATGATGCCTGCAAGGAGGCTGAATACTTAGATCTTTCGTTAGGAAGGAAAGACAAATGTAAAGAAGCGGGGCAAAGTCCTCACAAGCGGATCCGAGATAGCTTTGAGTGGCTTGCCGAGTCTTCGGACAAGAAAGACTGTACAGGTAACTTTGCCAACTCTGGTTCCGAACGCGTGACATTCTCTCTGCTCCAAAAGACCTGGGAGGACCACGGAAAATGCTTCTGAAACGTATACTTAGTAGTGCAAGCATTGTCTGCAGGGACAAATTCTGAGGAACCACTGGTTAATGACGTTAAGAGTGGGACAATGGAGGATCTATGTGCTGGTATTTCGCTCCGACCAGCCGTCATTAAAGCAGGGCTATTTGGGCAGGGGCATGTTGATTCAGTAAGTTCAGCAATCTATGTACACTAACTGTGCTCGTTTTCTGCAAATGTTGATGTTTATTGTTATTAAAGTGGAAAACAAGATCTATATGCATGTGACAGCTGATGCAGTTCCCCGACATGCTGTCAAATGATGAAGAGCATGACTTGGATTAAACCTGAAGTCAAAGTAGGGGTTTCTAAGTTCTTTCGGCTGGCAAGTGCTTGAAACTTAATCACGAGTATAGTAGAAGCGTGCAGCTGCGCAATTGAAAAGGCGATGATCGTAGATAATTGCTCTAGTATTGAAGTGATTATCTCACCATAAGACAGTAGGAAGTTGCTGCTTTTGCCATAGTAGAGCTTGTAAACATGCACACGGATAAGGGCAATGCTGTAATCGAGATTCACGGATGAGTCACAGAGTCTCAATGCCGGGCAAGATACAGCATTATTAATCTTTGGCTAGAATGCTGTATGCAGAGAAAAGGCATGTGCCCTGGAGGAGATGTTCTTTTTGGCATGCCTTGCAGGAGAAATCTGGACATGGAACCTTTTTGATGCTTGACTATCTCTCATGCAGGAAGGACTTACTGTCCGCGTGTATTTTTACAACTAGCTCTTGAACTTGTACCGCAATTTCTTAGCTTAAGCATACAGATCCGGTAAGAAGCGACCATTTTCTCCAGACTTACCAGCTGCAAATGCTATGGGACGCGGCTGCTATGGATCTGGTGTAGTCATACATTATTCCTTACAAAGGAGTCTATGGATCAAGTCTCTCTGTGACAGTAATGACTAAATCACTTTGCTTAGTTACTTTCATGTGGAAGTCTTGAACTAATAATCTGAGTCGGTGCCCTTCAGATTGGTGAGCCTGCAGAGATGATATCTGGTGTTCTTCACGATGATCAGACTCAGGCTACCGCCGAAAGTCTACAAAGAAGGTGTTCACCTGTATATCTTGGTTTGCTGAAACAGGATGCATAGTCTTGGTCCCCACATCATGTAGTAACCCTAGAGCCATAAAAGTTTCTTTAATGTTGTCAATGTAGAACATCTACGACTAACGCTTTTAATTTCTGCTTGAAGCATCTTCTGTTCTGACTAGGTCAACTCCGTCTAATTCTTATTTGAAATGTCGATTCACCTCTCCGTGGTTTTGTACAGATCTAGCAGGAACAGGAGTATTCCCCCATTTACTGGTAGGAATAATCACTCCATAGTGTATCCGTTTATTTACGAGTGCTTTAACCTAGCATGCGCATCTGCGCTTTGACATTATTCTATCACTCAAGCTTGTGCTGAATACACTGCGAACCCTAAATCTGGATAAATCAGAAAAAGTATTAATGAGTCTAATGGTTACGGTGAAGATTTATGATACCGTTAGACATAGTTTGATGATTGACTTTTAAGTCATTGTCTATTGTTGGATGCCAGATGTAAATACAGGGCAGGCTCTACATGCACCTACTATTGCCGAAAATTCTCTGTCGTTCTCACCAGATCACCCAGCGCAGCAGCCGAAAGAGAGCCTGGCGTTTTCGCTGTACACAGTATGTAAACGAACTGGTAAAGCAGGCTTGACGGCGAAGGAAATCATGTCAGTAATAACAGAACAAGGTTTAGCTGGTCTAGAGCAAGGTGCAGTTCAATCTAGTAGACGGATTGCCAAACTATTGCGCAGTTCCCCCTACTATATGGAAATTGAGGGAGGGAAGTTTGCTCTGTGCAGTGCAGTAATTGACATACAGCAGAATCTTGTATGTGAAGGACCATCACCCAACTGGCAACGCGAAGATTCTCTACTACATACGAAACAAACTGAGTCCAGTACAGTAAATGATTCCAAAACATTTGGCAATGGTGAGGGCAAGCTCCCGATCATTGCTCAGAGATGGAAGAGGAATCGTGTTGCTCAAGAACGTGAGGTAGCATCATCGGAACTAGAGATTCAAGTGAAAAGTAGGCCTGTGCGAAGTGGACGACCGAAAAAGCTGAAATATTTGAAGCAAGAGAATGCTGAAGAGCTCGGTAACCAGTGCAGCCGAACCGACGGGAAGGGGTGGATTTGCCCCTTGTTGGCAAAACCTGGGTACCAACTATGCGATTATCACCTCAACAAGCTGCGATGCAAGCCGGGAAGTAGATCGAAGAAGAAGAAGAAATCGGCTACTACTCCCGCAGATGAGGCACAGGTCTCTCATACGCTTGAAGACCCTCACATGGTGGACACAGCTGGGCACGAATTTTCGACTCCTGGAGATAGGGTCACAAACCCAATGGGAGATCTCGACCACTACCCAGATTGAATACTGCTTCTAGTTATGTTACATAGCGCCTATTGATTGATTGATTGATTGTATGAATGAATGCAGCTTAGCAGTAACGTTTTACCCGTTAGCTTAATTCTTTTACACTACTGATATCTCGAATTCTACTTGTGCTCCAAAATTGCAGTAGACTAGGACCTCGCCCAAGCTTAGCACCTAGCTACTTTTTATGCTTTTGGGTTTTCATCGACTACTGGTAGAATTTCGATACTGAGCGCCATTTCGAAGCACATGTCACATTCTCACCTTTAACACGCATGCTGGCAGGTCTTCATCCTGACACTTCTGATTGGCCATTATGTATATGTATATATATATATATATACATGCATACATTTATTTTCTTCTAGTTTACCAGAATCACTTGGAGCAATGAATGGTAGAACACCCTTGCAAAGTCAAATGCCAGAACCCTTGCATTGTACTCCTAAAGAAGGCTTCAGGTTCAGTGCATTATAAAGCTGCACAAGGATGGCAGCCGTACATTCAAAACTCAATAACTATTTGTTGGTGTTTTAGGTTAAGTTAATTTTCCTATATTAATAGTTCATGATTTAAGAACAAACATCCTAAATTAAGTGAAACATCCTACATTAGAGGGGCCTAGCCATTGATTATAGTCGATCTTAAAATCTACAAACTGTTGTAAAATTTATGTCTATCAATGTCTTTGTAAACACCTTTGAATACAATTTGAAAAACTAATTGTTGAGATGTTTTTAAAAAAATCAAAACTACCAAACAACAAACACATGATATAAAATTATGGTTTAACCAAAAAGTAATTTCATTCATTACTAAAGACTATGAATAGTAGTCTACAATACATGTTAATCAAAAAGAATAAAAAACAAGAATATATCCATTAATATGCATGCACATGTGTGTCATATTTTTATAACTTTTTAAAAAAAATTTATACACCAAATATGTTTAAAAAAAATATATATAAATTTTCTTATATAATTAGAAAAAAAAAATCTAAATTGAAACAAATGTATGATCATATATAAATTAATTCAATCTTACGCTTTATTTTTGAAAAAATATAATATATATATCCTTCAAATATGCTAAAATATCAAGAATGTTCCTACATTCTTGACAATAGCAAATGTACTCTTTGTGGTGATACCTTATCATATACAAGGAATACATTTGCTATTATAAAAAATGAAGATGTATATATTTCAATATATTTTAGGGATATATATGATGTTTTTCCTAAGAAGAATCCTTAGATTCATCACAAGTTCCATGAAACATTTATCTACAAAAGATGGATGAATAACCTACAATACTTTTTACTTTTGCATTTTAGCTTTTGTTTACTTTCAAAACACAATGAAGGAGGGCATGTAAAGTAATTTGGAAAGCAAAGTTACAGAGACATGTGGATTGTGATGTTAGATTTTTGAAGTAAGTTGTACAATTTGTGAAGAATTGTAGAAATCAAATTAGAATAGAGTTTTGTCAATTTATAAATTATGATCTATTATCAAATTCTACTCTCTTTACTTTTTCTTTTGGTTGTCTTACAAATATATATTTTTATTCTAATATTTACATATATGATTAAATAGAAGTAGATAAATATAGTTTTATTCCATAATATTTTTTAGAGAAGCTTCCTAGAAGCTCTATAGATGTTGCTTTGACTTTACATATATTTGTAGTTGATTGACAAGTTAGAACTTAGTTAATAAGTTAATCATGTGTTAGTAGCTTCAAAAAGAAGCTAACTATGTGACATACATAAAAAAAACTTATCTTGTCAAGTTAAGATACATGTCTTATAAAGTCAATACATTTTGGAGGTCCTATAGGATATTGCCATATAGCTCTTAGTTAAGTATATACATAGAGGTAAGAGTGAAGCCTTCTTCACTCTTATCAATGTTTTTCTAGTCCTTAGTCTTGTTTCAAGTCTTCCTATTTTTTTTTTTTTTTTTTTTTTGGCAATAGCCATTCTAGTTCAATTGTAAGAGGATAAAGATGAAATAATTATATAGATAGTTAGAACCATGTAAGTTTCTAGAATTAAAGTTAGGTTAGTGGACTAGGTAGGATCCACCTTAAAACATTCCAGAAAGAGTTAAAGGTGGTTATTTGGAGATATAGGAACTTGAATCTCTTAAAAAATCAATCGGGAGGTAAAAAGATATTACAATAGTAGAGTTCAATGGAGAAATTACAATATGGAAGATATGGTAGAGCAATCCTAGATGGAAGCTCAAATACAACATCTTTTAGGCTAGATAGCTACTTTACAAAGAAAAATAGAAGCCTTGAGGACAAGAGAGTCAACATCTGCTAGGTTGAAATTGAATAAGGCTAGTACACACTGTGAGACTTCAAGATAAGAAGATGTATGTCAAAGGCTCTTCAACATGCAACAATACGTCCAACTATCTAGAGCAAATATCATTAAATGAATTATATATGCAGCCAGCTATTTGAGAGATGCAATAGCCATTTGGTGGTGACATTGAATTCAAAGCTATAGAGCTCAAGTTAGATTTTGTGACTGGGAGGAGTTTGAGATCGAGTTTAGAAATCAATTTAGGCCCATCGATGCAAAATAGATATCATACAATCAGTTGTCAAATCTTATACAAGCTTAGTTGGTGCAAGTTTAGGTTTCTTGATTCCAGTTCCTATATCTCCAAATTGGCAAAGTTTTGGAAGTAGAGATGATGGATTGATTCTTACAATGTTTGAAACATGGAGTCTAGTGAGAAGTGAAGCTAAAGAATCTACAAATATTTGAAGAGGTAATTTGGATTGTAGAGAGGGTCAATGCAATAGATTTCAGAAATTGTGGAGCACAACCAATAGTACAAAATTCTAGGCTACTATGTGATACTACAATATAACAACCAATGCCAATGGAGATTGATGCCCTATAAGGATCATTGATACCACAAAGTCGCCAAATATTGGTACAAAAGGGATTGTGTTATTATTGTTGAGAGCCAAACCATGAAATCAGAGATTGTCTAAAATATCAAAATTCAAGCACTAGCAAGACAAGACAGGTTCTGAGTCTCAAAATTTACTAAGTCGATAATAAGTCAGAGCAAGAAAATGGGGCTCTTTGATAAAGGTGCCTAGAAACAATATTGGGGATATCTACTATCTCTTAAAGACAAATTGCATGGCCTTGGACAACTATATAAAGAATCGATTGATATATCTAACAAGACTACAAAGAGAATAACTATGTCGAGTGCTTGTAGATTGTGGCTCTATAAAAAATTACATCTCCATTGAAATTGTCAATTGACTTAGAATTAAAACTAAAGCAATTAAAGGAAGAAGTGTGTACCTTGCAGATAACCAAGAAAATGTATTGAATGAGATGTGTGAAGAAAAAACCTTAAGATTGACAGACCCTTATGTCTTAAGAGAGAGATTCAAAGTAACAAACCTAAGGTATGATGTTATCTTTAGTATGCCATGGCTAGATATGGAAAATAAGTAAGTTGATTAAGTAGCAAGGACAATCTATTTTAAAGTTGGAGGATGTAAGGTGACTCTTTGTACCTATGTATTAAGTGAAGAAGAAAGACAATCTATAATCAAAGATTTACTTGTAGAGATAACTTTTATGAAGAAGCAAATATAGTATGAGTAACCGATATATATGGTGGTTCTAAATCTTGCGTTAGTGGTAGAAAAGATAGCCAAAAGAGTAGAACAGTGTTGTATTATGTGTTGTTTTGCTCAGGAATGTACATGGAACTTAACTATGGAAGGTGAGATTATGTTTCATAAGTAGCCAAGAAACCCTAATAGGTTTTGCCCATACAAGAAGAATATAATCTGAATTTTAATTCAAAAGTGCTTAAAACACTCTTCTTAGTAGTCTTAATCATACTTAAATCCCAATTACCTTGTTACTTTCATATTTAAGCAATTTAGATTTTTCTTATAAGCCCAAATCCTAATTAGTGAGCTTTAACAAGCTATAACATCCAATCCGACTGTCCACTTAATGTGAAATTTTGTATGCAATTATCAATGTAAGTCTTCTACATGCTTAAGAATTTTTAGTCCAATCCAACTTATAGATTGTGAGAAAACCTCCAAAAATTGCACTAATGTCACTCGACCGCCAACTTGAAAAGTGAAACAGAAATTCAAGCAACGATTTCTCCCTTTCCAAACGTTAACTTTGTTTCAAAATTGGTGTGTAGCTTAATCTTTAAGTCTTCCAATACCATGCCAATTTTCACCTTAATCCGACTAATAGATCTTTAGATATCATAGAAACCCTATCCAACCTCAAACTGCCACCTTTTAAAATCCTCTTGTGCTAAAAACTAGATATCTCTAAACCACGCCATTAGATTATCACAAAATTTTGTATACACTTAGTACACCTAATAATCCAAAAAATTTCAAATTTTCAACTATAGATGTCACTCCAATTACACGAACTAGCCAAAATTGCTAGCCCTAATCATATTATATAAAATCCAAATCATTGATACAAATCCTGACTTTGAACAACAATTGCTAAGTCCTTCAAAACCCTCTCCAAATAATGCTTATGTCTCTGAAAAGAACTTCAAGCTAGCTCTAAAATCCTAACCTTCGATCTTAAAATGAAACCCTATTTTGCCCTAGGTCATCATTTTAGTGGCCAGAGATCTGATTTCGATCCTATCTCACAAATGGTCAACCCCTGGGTATCAATCTATCCTATCCTAAGGATTTTTTAGTCCAATCCTACTCTCAACTTTATCTTAGTACCAACTATATTAATTATTTATCTCTTCTAATCTGATTTCATTAATTTATGGTCTTTCTAAGGTAGTAGAAGAGTCTCTACAACCTAGAAGATAAAATTACTAACTAATCTTCAACCTACTAATTATTAAGATAAGAAAATAACCTAAGAGGCTTTTATAAAATTCATGTTTAGATACCTCAAATTATAATTGAACTAAAATAATTAGATATTAATTAAAAATTTAATTTTGATTATAATTTTATTATATAGTCGTATTACATCACGACAACGGATAGAGCAACTCATACGAGAATGTCAAGATATCTTTCCAATTGACCTACCTAGTAGCATACTTCTTTATCAAGGTATCTCGTTTCAAATAGAACTATTGTCTAGTTCCAAATTAGCAAGTCAATGAATTTATTGCCTAACACCAAAAGAACTTGAAGAGTTATAGAAGACATTAGATGAATTCTTCGAAAAAAGCCTCATTGAAGAAAAGACATCACCATGGGGAGCACGTGTACTCTTTTTACTCAAGAAAGAAGGTGGATCTTGCCT